CAGCAGAATCTCTTTGAAGGACTTGGCGAATACCTTGAGTAACTTTTTCACAACTAAAGTTAGTGACATCTATGCTAAACTCAATGATCTGGAAAAACCTGTCACATGTTCATCAGTCTCTCCACGCCGGGATTTCTCTTAGAACCACAATCACCACTGCCAGTGTTTCCCATGGCAACTGCTGATAAATTGATAACAATTATCAATAACTCAAAAAAAAAAAAAAAAAAAAAAAAAAACTGTAGCTTAGACCCAATACCAACACCATCGCTAATTCAGATTGATCACCCACATTGTAAACACTTTCCCGGATATGCTGAAATCTGGAATTGTTTCACCTTTACTAAAAAAAACAACCTTGATCCTGACTTTATACTTAACTATAGACCTATATCAAACCCTCATTTCTTTCAAAGGTGATTGAAAAGCTGCATTCAGAACAGCGGACTAAATATGGCGACCCACTAAAAAGCTTGCCGTCTAATCCGCTTATAGACACTGAATAGATTCCCCATGGGGAAGTATTCAAGTGGGTCGGCCATATTTGATCTGCAGACTAGTTAGTCTGCTGTTCTGACCTACATGAAAGGAAGACCACTTAATTCTGTAATGGTCTCTCCACCTCTTTCACGCCTCCACACGCATCGTCCCTGCAGGGGCACAGTAATTAAATCTCGGCTCGACCGTCGAGGGACGACGCGTGAGAGGCGCGTGAGAGGCGGAGAGACCATTACAGGATTAAGCGGTCTTCCTTTCATGTAGGTCCGCCATATTTAGGCCGTTAACCCGCTAGCACTCGGCTCTTCTCATTCTGAATGGCCCCTGGGTGTCAAAGATCAATCCATTACATTCCTTCGTTCATACCTCACTGGGAGGTCACAACAAATTTCGGTAAATGGCATATTTTCTGATCTTTCTGATTTTTCACAACTTGTTTTTGGGGTGCCCCAAGACAGTGTCCTTGGGACACTTTTCTTTTGCATTTATATCTGTCACTTGGTGCCATCTTACGTCATCAGAAACTTAGACACCACATGTACGCTGATGATACTCAGATCTATACTTGCTGTGACATGCAAAATCCTACGGATAAAGTTACCAACTGTGTGGCTGATATTCGCGCCTGGCTTATCAACAACAAACTGAAATTAAATGACGGAAAGACTGACTTTTTATTAATCACGCAACCACATAACAAGCAATTTGCACAGAATCTACAACTTGAATTACCAGAGGGCACCGTTGTTGTGAACCAGTTACGATACGTGAAAAAAACCTGGGTGTCTACTTTGATTCCACTCTCTCCATGGATAGACAAATATCAAATATCACTCGATCATGTATTTTTAACATAAGAAACATCGGTGCTATTAGAAACTACCTGGATCAACCTTCTGCGGCAACAGTTATTTATGCGATGATCACCTTTCTTTTAGAATACTGCAACTCATTACTCAATGGCGTCTTTTAACGCGCACACCCAGGGAGACTCGCATTACACCCGTTTTAAAGCAGTTACACTGGCTTCCTATTAGACCACACATTTTATTCAGAATTTTAACTTTTATGCATGCATTTTTTTTTACCAATCAGCACCCCGGTACTACTGGTACAAAAACTGGTTCACCGTTATGCTCCAAAACGTAGTTTAAGATCACTTGACCAGTTTTTGCTCAAGCCATGTGATACCAGGTTGAGAACATACGGCGACAAAGCTCTCCAAGTCTATAGACCAAATGAATAGAACATTCTCCCAATATACTTAAAAACTATAGAGTCTGAGGACAATTAAAAAAAAAAATTAAAAACTTTTAAACTCAAAAGGTTTTATGACTGATTTGACTGGTTGTTATCTTTACATTGTACTATGTATTTTAATATCTTGTGATTTAATTGTCCATATATATTTATTTACTTTGTACTATACATTTTAATATCTTAATACCTTAACTACGTATTTATTTATTTATTGACTTTATTCTTCTTATACTGTTCATTTTACCCATGTAAAGTCTACTAAACTTTTTATATGGATTTTAGACTATAAATAATATTATTTTTATTATTACCACCAAACATTGTGGCGTAACTTAGAGTAGGCGAAAAATTGAGAGGAGACAGCTTGTTAAAGGCAAGAAAAAATAGGAAAAGCGATTCTAATTTCATTTTATTTCTATTTAATTTCCAACACGATTTTACTTGTGAGATATGTCGATGAATAAAAAAACAAATTATTTCTTACCATCATTACACATGAGGCAAGAAAAGCATATTTCATTGCAGCTCTTTCACCTCCATGTTTGACAGCAGTGAACAGACAGGCTAGCGAGCACCACCAGTATCCATGTAAGGCCCCATTCAGAATAAGGGACTAACGAGTCAAATATGACGACCCAGAGAGAGAGAGAGAGAGAGAGAGAGAGAGAGAGAGAGAGAGAGAGAGAGCAAGCTTGTCGTCTAATCCGCTTCCCGTGGGGAAGTATTCAAGTGGGTCGGCCATATTTGACCCTCGGACTAGTAAGTCCCCTATTCTGAATGGGGCCTAAGTTCCGTTGTTGCCCCCAAGGAGAGCCTAACAACGTACCAACCTATATTATTTGAGAGTCAACCAATGGCCCGATAAAAGGATTGATTAACTCTAACCTTATTTACTTAAAGATGTCATTAATCTTCATAATTAAGTTTAATAGCAACCGGCCTTGTACGTGTATGTGTTTCTAACTTTGGCCAAAGAGTGACCTTTTGTTAAGGATAACCCGTGGACGACAAAGATGGTGACCGAGTTGGAGTTACTGGTTTTGATTTTGTGTTCTTTTAGATGTTTATGTGGATATAAAGTTTTAAAGCACGTCACCACACTGATTATAGGGTGTATAATAATATGACTACATAACATTTTGTTGTGGCGAAGACGACACACCCTGCTGCCTATTTAAGCTTTGTTTTCTTTTATCCGCATCTTTACCTGTTTATGTCTCGTCCTGAGGTGCATTCAAATTATACTCAAGTGAACATGAAATATGATATCATCCATTTTTCTATGTGACTTCTTGGAGCCCGAACAAATCTCAATGGCAAAAAGAAAAAAGAAAGAAAAAAAGAAAAAATTACTTATCTTAAGATGTGACAATGCGATGGGTAAGAAGGGTGGAAGAAGAAAAAACGTTTTCCTTGGCACTTGGATGTCTATATCTAGTTATGAACTTAGCTTTTGTTGTTACGTAAACAACAAACTGCGTACCATAAGGTCATTCGGGAGCATATTTTATGAGCAAACAACCAATTCACGTATTTATCTGGACGTTGTGTAGGATTGAGTTAAAATACCGCGTAGAAAAACTTTTTTCAACAGTACATGGAATAGATGGGTCATACTTCTAATTTAATGGAAATAAATGCCTTAAATTAATTATCAGTTTTCCTTAACTTTCATTGGAATAACAACTATAAAACTGATCAATTCCAGGTCGTTAAGTTTAATTTCTAAAAGCCAATCTAATGTGTCCTGTGTTGGTCAAATGTGTTCAGGATACATACGTATATAATCAGTTTACAGGTCAAGTTAAGGACCTCAGGTTCTACAGAGGCATACAAGGTTGCTAAATTATTAAAATAAATTTAAAAAATGAGAAGCCATATCTCTGATTAAGAAGTACACCCGCCTCAAAATCTATTTAGAAATGGACTTCTGCCTTGAAACCATATCATTTACCTTGTCCAATCAGTTTTAGTTATGAACCTGTGTCTAGAAGCCACTTAGCATTCAGTGTTGAAGTCTTCTCTGAATTAAAGTAACCGCTCCGGCAACACACCGTGCTGGGAAGCCAATACTATGTAATTGTATATATGAAGATATGGAAAGATGGAAATAAATGAAGGGGTCAGTGGTCAATGTATACAGAGGACATTGTATGCTGATCCCTAGAAAACAAAACGTAATGTTAATTGTGTGAGGTGAATGGAACCTTGTATGCTATAATAAGACCCCACCGTCGATTTTTTTCTAGAGGTTACCGATCATCTGAACCAAGAAGTACAGTCAAGATTAACATAGACCGCATTCACAACGAGTTGAGCCATGGCTCTACAAATCCACGAACTAAATATGGCGGATGGACATGAAAGAAAAAATGCCTAATCTTTTGATAGTCTCTCCGCCTCTCACACGCCTCCCCATGTGTCGTCCCAATGGAGCCGAGATTTAATGACTGTACCCCCGCAGGGACGACGCCTGGTGCGGCGTGTGAGAGGCCTAGAGACTATTAAAAGATTAGGCAGTTTTTCTTTCATGTACGTCCGCCGTATTTAGTTCGTGGATTTGTAGAGCCATGGCTCAACTCGTTGTGAATGCGGTCATATACTTGTAGACTAGGATCCTTCGTTTTAGCGACTACTCAAGCCAACTGAATGACTTTATTATATTTGCATTACTTGACTTTTCACTCAATATCGTTTAAAATTAGATCGAGGCAACTTCGGCAAAGATAACTCCATGTGTTGCCTCTTAAAGTTTGAAAGTATATTGGTTTCGTTTGTTGAATCTTCCGTGAATCTCTCTCTCTCTCTCTCTCTCTCTCTCTCTCTCTCTCTTACCATTATAACCGGGTTGTTTTGTACCTAGGCTGTATTCCATCAGTTTAGCTCGCTATTTATGGCCCTAGCAGCATATGAAAACGAACGGAGTTTCAACTTGCCCTGGCAGTACCACCATGAAACACATGTTAACTTGCTTTGATAGGCAATTAAAGTAGCATTAATGTAGTCTAGTCTCATTAAAGGTATTCAAAACCAGCAATTTATGCGAATAAATAAAGGTACATCGTATTCAAAACCAGCAATTTATCCGAATAAATAAAGGTATATCGTATTCAAAACCAGCAAGTTATGCATATAAATAAGCGCTAGACGCACGGTAAGGTTTCTAACTAACAATTGTTCTGAGTACCATAACTCATTTTGTCTACAACTTAACAAAGTATTACGCTGAACTGATGACTTACCTAGCTCTTTGGGGAGTAATGGGCATAACAGACTCTCTTCTTCTGCCTCCAGTGTGGTGTGATCGCTCTGATTGCTTTGAGCGTCAGGTATTTTAGAGATAGATTTCTGCGAGCTGTTGAAAGAGATGTGGAACCCAGTCCAGCCTGGGTTGACTATGTTTATGTATTGTCTTGTCCCTTCCATGGTGGACATCACCAACATTTGTATGGCGATGATTGCTATTCCTGAGATCAACAAATAAAAACGAACTCTTCCCGAAGCTCCAGGTCTTTTAAACATGGTGAACATTGGGGTGAAAACGCTACCCGCACCAGCCCCGAATAAGATCTGAGATATCCCACTCTGGGATTCTCTGTTATTCACAAGTAAGGCTTAGGCCACAAAGAAAACCAAGCCCAAAAAATTATGTCCTTGTCTACAAGGGGCCTGGTCCACGTTCTCGCACGCGTCCTACCTGTATTTAATAACCCGCTTTTACGGATATAACTTGATGTCATATACTAGGTACTGAGTGTGATCTGGGTCGATGTAAATCCACCTTACTGTGCCTTGTTGTGAAAAAAAAATGAAAGCACTGTGTGTATGTATGTATATATATGCAGCGATTGTACTTGCTCTCACAATAAGACTTTCAAATTCTTGACTAGCTGTATTCTTCTGGCGTGTGCAACAGTCGTGGTCTGTTCTGAAATGAGTGACGCCTCCACGTCAAGCTACGCCCGATACGCTATCAGATAGATCTGATAGGACGGAGATATACATAGCGCTGGCTATTGTGAATTATACTGTGACTTTCTAGGAGTGCTCCATGACTTCAGTGCCTATCCCACGTGTACCTGTGACTGTGCCCATAAAGTGGAGGCATGAGTAATCCGTCTCTGATAAACCCGAGGACACGCCGGACATGCGTGGACCAAACGCGCTTCTAACAGGTGGCGCAGAATGCAAGGTTTCGAGATGTGGCCTCCTCGGGAGAAAATTAGGTATCCCTGACACGGTCAAGATTGATACTGCATAAGACGCGTGCCAAGACGCGTTCCTGTATGATGATGAATTGGAAATGTTGCAGCTGACGCTCTAAGCCCAGGAAAAATGGCCCCGTGTCATGGCCGGGTCTACCAGCATGTCAAGATCAGAATTCACCCATCAGCATGAAAGATGTGTTGTGAAAAGAGAGCAGCTTTAACAAACTGCAGACATCGCGGTAACCCGGCCTCTGGCGAAGATTACATACATTTTCCTGGTTTTAAAAAACCTGAGCCAACAACAACAACATCAAAAAGCTCCATAAGCCATTTACGGCCTCGCCGAGGTAACCGTCTTATGGTTGATAAAAATTCCCCTGACGGCGGTCACTTTTTATATAGGTGCACCTGTTTAATTTGAGCGTCCGTAAGTGAAACATTGCGTGCGAGACGCTTTACAAGTAAAGGACATCCTAGGAAGTCGCCGGGTTCGCTGAAGGCCTTCAGTCGTCTTTGTTCTAGTATCCAGCCTATTACCCCACGTTGGCATGGCACTGAAGAAATTAACTCGGTTCAATTAATCGACCTGCCGCGGCGTGCAGTCAAGTAAATTACGTGCTGAACACGAGATTGGCAAAATGATTGTCTCGTTTTTGGCCCTAAGGTCGTCTTTATTTGCGCAGTTTAGTTAATCATTTTTTATTTTTGTTTAATTATTGAAAACAGTTGTCGCGAATTTAAAAAAACATTAATGTTACATATTCATAAAAAAAAAAAAAAGACGTGTGTCATCTCCCCTGTGCTGGGCACAGTTAACTTTTTAAGCATGAGTATGATATTCAGCGCATTTAAGCGCTATTTCCCCCAGTCACTAGCTTTAATTTCCAAGCGCGTGGTGACCTTTGGCTTATCGCAGGTCATTATACTTAATATGTGCATACTTTAAGTCTCTTTCTGTTTATATATACATATATATCTACGGTTGACCTTAGCGGATGAGCACATTGGAAAAGATAAAGTGAAGTGGTCTAATTGTGCGAAGGAATGAAAGGCAGGCACAACGTTTTTATTGTTAACAAAAGGGAAAAGTATTAGAAAATAATAATCGGTGAGAGAGAGAAGAGTAACCCACACAATACAGACCATTACGTGAACTTGAATAAAGATTCGGTCTTACCTGATTTCCTTACAGTGGAAATATGAAATCAACCTCAGTGAAAAGTGCCCTACTCTGTTTGTTGTGAATATTTCAGAGGGTAGAAAATGCCAAGTAAAACATCAAGTTGATATAAATAAAATAACGCGCAATTAAATTATTAATAAATTATCATATACATGCACACGTATGCAGTACTTTAATACTAAATATTCATATGTCCAAATATATCAAAATATATTATGTAAAAGGTCTGACTAATATAAAAATGATCGAGTCATTAATTGATCCTGGCCTGGATAGTAAGTCCAGTCCTAGATGGATACCTATATATATATAGATAAAACTTTTATGTTACCAACTGCTCGAAACATTATTTTACATGGATTATAGCCAGAATGCTTGCATTACTTTGGATAAGCTTATCTAACAGTTGACTGTTTTCACCTTGAGCGGTCGACAAATACAAAAGTGTGATATTTTTATAATTGGTAAACAATTGAAATTACCTAAAAGTACTATCATTCTAAATAAATAAAACGGCCTTATATTATCTCTGTTACACAATTTAATCTGATAGATTGTGATACATTTCTGCACGACGTGAAAATGAAAGGAATGCAGATAGCCAGTCGCTCGACTAAAACCAATTGAAGAAAAATATCTTTGGGTTTGAAACTTAATCAAGTGAATGAAGGCAAAATATAGAAAAAACAAGTTCGTATTTACCTGCATAAGGTCGTCGGGCATTTGTGAACCTGTGAAGCATACGCTCATATGTAATAAGAAAATGGTTTTAAGGGGATTTGTTTCTAATTTAAACTTCACTTCCGTGATTTAGATTGGATTTAAAAACGATCAATTTGATAACAAAGAAGATGAATAAATATACGGCTTGACAAGCTTAGCTTTGCAGGAAGTAAATACAACAGAAGAGATAAAAGAAATATCACAGATCGCCTCGTATCATCACCAATCATTTAAAAAATGTCGTGACTCTCGAACACGAATGGTGAAATAATTAATCAGCGCCGGTGGCATATTTTGATAGTATCGCTCGTGGCGGGAAGTATCAGCATATCGGAATGCACAGGTATGTGTGCTCTTTGATTGTTTGTTTGAAACAATTTCATTAAATAATTTATTTCATCAGGTTCTTTATGGGGGTGGTATGAATCATTTTGATATTTTGAAGATTCCGTCTACGGTTTATCACTTATGATTTCCTGTACTTAACATTTATTTCTCGGTCTAATATATCAACAAATCAGAAAAATATGTTTATCCAAATGCATCAGAAACACCCACACACTCTATCCCCGATTAAAAAAAATAATCCTCAATTTAGATAGTCTAAGTAATGCACATCATTTCAGGAAGATGGCGGACGTTCACCTGGTCGTCAGACTTACTTGGTTTAGAAAAGAAATTAATTGTCTTATAAAATAATGTCTTATTTCATATATATTATGCAGCGTGAAGAAAGATATTATGCGATATTTCACATAATATGATAGCCCGGTTCCGAATTAGTGGTGTATAACTTCTAATTACCCTATAACATCATGGAATAACTTCGTATTTGCGCATTTTATTTCAGAGTTAAATACGTCAGGGAAATGAGTTTTGTTTTTATGTCCTGGGTGACCTATTGCCTCAAGTTAAAACACAAGGAATGATACTCTTAACAATATGGAGGCGTTGTTGCAGTTTGTGGTCTTATCAAGCAATCAACAATCCATCTGTTTTCTGCATAATTCTTTTTAGAACGACTTAATGTCCTTTATTATCTTAAGCACCTAATAAACACTTGGCTATTCTATGTAAACCAGTTACCTAATCATAATTTTATAGCCGATAACTTCTGATTATACAAGGAAATACCTTAATCAATCCGCGCTATGACCCAGCCATTAATTTTATTGCATGTAAGCAATTGTGCACGCCATAACCTAGTTTTTCGTTTTATAGGATGTAGAGAAGACAGATGGCGTAATAAAATACTAATATGGAAAGCAATCGCTTGATGTGTACAAAGATATTAATTAGTAAATCGCCACAGTGTTAATTGCAATCTACAGTGTATGTTTATTTGTATATAGTACTGTTTTGTTCAAATTTTGTTCAAATGGTGTCATTTATTTATTTATGTAACGGTGAAGTTAGCTGTCTGTGTTCGTGATTGTACCTTGTTTGTGGAGGAGAATATCAATAAAGCAATCTGATTAAACATAACTCCATGGTAACAATCAGATCACTACGGCACTTCTGCATGTAACACGAGAGAGAGAGAGAGAGAGAGAGAGAGAGAGAGAGAGTTAAATGCTACAAGGGTCCACCAACGTCACTCCAAACACAATGGCTCTCAAACAGATCGCCTCCTGAGGACCACTGTCGTTATTCCATCCGTAAAAATTTATTGGCCAATCTATGGTTAGTATTTGCTGAGGATATTTACAAGTGTATGTAGTTATGAACTTATAAACTGAAACAGAGCTGCGAAGCTGTTAGATCTGGATCCTATTTTAAAAAGGAGTGAACTCTAAACGCTAATAGCTGGTATTTTGATCCATATTGAAGCATTATCCAGAAGCGTAATATTGCATTACAGGTTGAAGCGGAAATTTTACAGCACACTGTTATTGCAGCAAGTGTTGTGTTGTGCGGGGCAGGTACTGCAAGCCAAAAATCCCCGCAGAGTTAAGATTGTGCAAACTTTGTGATTCCAATAAAGTAGAAGATGAGTTCCACCTCCTGCTAGAGTGTAAAGCGTATGACTCACTACGTGATTCCTTCAGAGGGCAGCTGTCAGATTTCCTACCCCTGGGCGACCTCAGCAATAATAAACTGTTTAATCTTCTTATGGGTGCCCAAGACATAGACATTCTTAGAATGGTTATGTGTTTTGTAAATAGATGCTTAAAACAAAGAGAACAGGCCCTCTATTAATGCATTGTACTCTCTCCAATGTACTCATTCTAATTCATCACCTTCATGTATAGATTGCCATCATACATTCCTTATATAATTTATTATAAAGTAACTTATTGATATTATGCTACATGTAAACATTGAAATCATGTATATTTATTTATATACCTGTTTGTACTGTTGTAGTTAGATGTAATTGTCTTTGTCTTTGATTGTACCTTATTTGTAAAGGTGTATCAATAAAGAATCATGTGTGGGTGACGTAGATATTGTTCATTTATCGATAGGTGAAGTACAAACACGCATAAAAAGAAGCATTGCATCGGCCGGGAATCGAACCCGGGCCGCCCGCGTGGCAGGCGAGCATTCTACCACTGAACCACCGATGCATACAGAAAAACTATGGTCTTTTTTGAAACTCTGATAATTTCTTGCACGCAATAAGTAAGTTACACACAAGAGTCTTCGGAATCACGCTACTTTTTCCCTTATATGGTTACTAAGATCCCAAGAATTGATACCCGTTTTGCTCCTCAATTATTAGAGCAAGCAATATGTACACATGATGAAATACAACTCTTTTATGTATTTATTTGTTTACTTATTATTATTTATTTGTTTGAGAATCGAGTCAAAAATGCTACGACCGGTTACATATTATGGACCACGGAAAATATATTTCGAGCAGTAATTCTTTATTTTCTAACAGTTTTACAAAAGACGAACAGGGGCACGTAAATCACTATAGGCCTATGGGGGACTATATGCGTCCCAATTACTACAGCTGGTTCTGTGGTGACTCTTCATGATCGCTTGTGTTTGGTTGAATTTTGTACCGAGGTCGGCTGCCACCTCGATTGATTACTGAACCTAAAAAACACAGTAAAACTACTTAAAAAAACAACACTACTTTACCATACAGCAAAAGACCGGTTCAAAATCGATTAAGCACTTTTAAAATATAAATTTCATGGAATCGCCATATAGCCCCGGAACCCATTCCATGCCAACTCGGGGTCTACTTCGCGTTCAGTTCAGCAGCAATAGTGACTTTGGATTTACCTCGAGGTCAACGTTCGATTTAGAAGAGGTAGCTGGATCGGCGATCGATTTTGGCTATGTAATTTCTTTTTACATCATTATAAACTTGGACATAAAAGGGAACCTTCTCTGATTATGTCCAAGTTATAAAGGAGTTTTACTCTTTCGTGAGAAATCATATTGAAAAATATATAAAGAATTCTCGACCTTTTACTAGACGGAGAACAATTTTAAAAGTGATAAACTTTGTTTTATTTTTTTCACTGTCCGGCAGAATAAAAAACAATTCGAATCCTCGCCACCCTATTTTAAAGCGAGACTGTTAATGGCCGGCAAGCGACGTCACTTGCAAGCGGTCCACAGATAACCAACTCCGAAGCCACAATATAAATAAATATCAATCTAGTAATATTTATTGGATACACTATTGAGAATGGTTTCCAACGAGTGCACAATCAATAGAGGCAGGGGCAAAAAAAAAGCTTAGTAGCAAAAGGGGGTCCCCATCGTAAAATTTGCCTCGGTGGGCCCGCACTTTCTGAACCCTGTGTTGAGGTAAAACCTGTCATTGCACCACAGTCAACTATGTACAACAAAAGGGGTCCTTAATGAGTGGAATCCACAATATCATGTGTTCTACAAGAGACAGTTAAAACACAACTTGCTGCGCGCGCTGGGAAGAACAATTATTGAAACAACGTAACAGGTGTGTGTGCTTCATAACTATAGCAAATTCATCAATAATGTTATCTTAGTCTGGCAGCCGATCACATATTGATCACGTTTCTGCTTCGTGTAACCCGTCGTCTGCCGATAATAAGAGGCAAGCACGACCAATATATATCTAAGAAGTACTCTTAAAAAACAACAACAACTAAAACGAGTGCTACGTAGTGATTTGACGATCGCGTTAAATATTCAACATTTCATTACAGCAGATGTGCATTTTAGTCAATAAATATCCGCACTCGCAAATTCTAACGCTGACTTCGGATTTAGGCTTCATTCTTATGTTGTTTGAATAATTCATCATAAGCTTACAGCAAGACCGTGACAAGCCTGACGCACGTTACTATGATTATGAAAATCTAACGCGTACAGATCATGTTACATAAAAGTGTAATTCGACGAGTAATGTTACTCAAGGGCTCATTCCCCTTGAATCTATCCGTCTACGACGATCAATCCAGCTCAGCGTGGACGTGTTATCTACGTGGACCGATAGTTTCAACAAGAATGGACCCTAACAGTTAAAAAGTGAGACTTATAATCTCATATGGTCAACATACTCTTCAGCTTTCTATACCGAACTTAATTTTCTAAGAGATAATTTCAATATTAGTCTAGCCGCTTTCTGGGATGAAAGGAAACTTCTTACCAATTAAGTCATTAATGAAGCAGAGTTGTGTGTGTGTGACGTGAATCTTGGATGAACATTAATGGCGCAAAGTACAACTCATATCTACATCTTAATATTCACAAATCGTTAGAAATCTCTTCGGCGCATACTGTACGGCTTAAATACATAATACTTTCTCGTTTATGACCAGATTGATCAATCACTGACTGGCAGGTCCTGACTTAAATTCATGTTTCAACTCCAATAAATAATTAAGATTTCAAAAATCGCGCCAAGTTTTTGCCTGCGAGCCGACGAAAATAGTTTCTCTAAATCTAAACATATAGAAATCCATAAAAAGTGTTGTGAATACAAAAATATGACTATCCATATAACGCATACTGACTTCAACAATGCAAAACCCTTGCCACTAGATTAGTAGAAAAATTCGTAAATAATTACCTTATTCATATCAAACTGTATGAGCGTACTTCTTAGTTATTTCTACTTGACTAGATTTTCATTTTTAAAAAGTGTCCGTCTTTTGCGCAATATCATTGAAACAAAACTTGAAATAGGCCCATCCCGCTAAATGTAACAACTTATTACACTCAATATAATATGATACCCATTTTTTTTAGATCGTGATCACACAAATCAACAAAAAGATTCATGATCAACGGGTATATATAGTATACTGATCAACTGGTATATGTAGAATACTCTCTAAAATATAATACGCAGAATTAATCAGATAAGTGCTTGGTTGCTGGCAATGCAGCATCACAAAGGATTCGTTTTACCACATTTAAAACGTATATCTTTCCGCCATTTTCCTCTCCTCGTTTTACATAAGTTGTGGATAAATAGGAAATTGCAGTCTAAAATCTTAATCATAGCAAATAGGTTTTAGTATGAAGAACAATTTCCCCCTGAATACGACTTAAATATGTTATATATTTGAATTGGAGCTCGTATTTGTGAACTCTATTCATCGGTTGGGGCAGAAATATCACACACCAGCGGTCGATTTCTTTCTGCTGCTTCGACGTCATTGAACGGAGTCCTATCCGAGCTCGCACCCCGGGTCGACGAGAGATGCCCGTTCCCCTTCACGTATTACACGTATGCCTCTTCTGGAAGAAAAGATGTTCTTTTCATCCCCCATACTAAAACGATGGTGGGCTGAAACTGGCCAATTTCTTAAAATATTTTTTCTCTGCAATCTGTGGATCAATTTTGCGACTTAAAAAAATTCTGGGCGATAAACCGGTGTATACCGTGCAGGACACCGCAATCTACCCTGTTTTCCCACACACCAAGTTTCCGCGAAGGAGAGATATCATATTTCTCGCTATTTCCAGAGATTTTCACGTGTATGTACCATGTTAACAGCCATTTATCAAGATCGTCTGCACACCTCGGGAAACATCAAATAGAACCCGCCGCTTGCGATCAGATAAAAAATAATAATCAGCGCCAGAGGATGGGCGGGATTCGTTTTCACTTTTGGTCCTTTCTTTCGGTTCTCTCTCCTCTTCTTGAGTTCTGCAACCTTGTCCTCCTCCTCCATTTCTTTCGTGTAAGTCCAGTGAGGGACGCGGACCAAAAGATAGGTGAAAAGAGGTTCGTCCTTCATCAACAGGAGGGTATAGTTGGCGCTGTTCAAACCATCCTGATCCTGTCTACCGTTAGATGTGTTGAGCAACTTTTCTCTGGAATAAGAATTAAAACATTACAGCAATGTGTATGTTAAGAAACAAAATAGCTGAATTTTTGTCAAAATATACCAGACAAGGGTAATCTAACCGGTATTTTAGCCCAAAAAACGATTCCGTAATAAGAAAAAAAAGCAAAAATGGTGTTTATTTGACAAAGAATCTTTGAAAGTCACACCTGTATAAGAAGGAAAAAACTGGTGATGATTTCCAACGGCACAGGCCCAGCTGCATTTACACATCAGAATGCAGAGAACATAACATCCTTCAACGTCACTTTATGTAATTTATGAGCGTTTTAACTTATTTTAAGATTACACGAGAAGAGACGTCCTAGTGGGGAGCCTTGGGGAATACACAATTGGGTAAATTAGTTGCTGCTGTACTCCAACTGCGTTACTTATGTACTCAACGCCTTCCTCGCTTTATGACCAATATCACAGTAAACTCTACACAGGTTTTAGAAATTTGCTGATGTAGGGCTGTATTCCCAGAGCTTTTAGATCGATCTATCCCCGCGGGGAGTCTCACTAGATTACTGTCAGATAATCCGGCTTAAATGTCCGTCCCGCCTACTACAAGCTGTGAAGGGGTAATTAACTTTGGTGTTCGCTCGGCTGACAGCTATTTAGCGTGAACCCCCAGAGAGTTAGGTCGATCTAAAGTAGATCGATCTAATCTCTGGAAATGGGGTCTAGGTCTCACTTCACTCGTTTCGCATTGAGTAAATGATTTATCAAAACATCAAATTTCAACAAAATTTCCAGTCAAACGTAAGGTATTGATCAGATGGTACTTCCTGTGTTCCATTCCTCAGTTGTATGGTGAATTACGGCCGTTTTAAATCACAGTTCAGATTTGGAATTCACATTCGGGCCTTGTTCGTACCTCTAATTCAACAAACGGATGTTTTTTTTTTATTTCAAATGTCTGAAACAACACAACCTGTACTTCTTCATTTTACATTAAATAATTCAGCGATAACATAACATAGCCGTGTTTATTGACTGCTAAATATTTCAGCACAAGCTGCGAGTTCTAAATCCATACAAGGCATCATTTGCTTTGTCACTTCACTGAATCATTCAGGAATGTCATATCTCGTTTATATTGACATTATACGCAGGCATAAAGACATCACACGGTCATTAAAAATCATCTGCGTACAAAAAAAATCCAATTTTGAAAACCTTGTGAGTGCGCCAGTCACGCAAATACGTCTGCATGTTGAGCAACATCTAAATAACCCATGATAATAAAGCGACGGGTGTGAGTAATAGGCGTTCGGTACTATCCAGTTTTTTTAATCAAAATATCCCCAAAAAACGAATATAGAAATTACACTGACTTGTGTTATACAGTGTAGTTACAAAAGGACGATGTTTTTCATTATAAGCAATGACTTACATTCTAGTAAATTTGACTGAATACTGTCTCTGTTGGTGGCTTATCATCGTGTACCGTCCGATTGTTTTGTGGGGGCGCTCGTGTGCCAGACCCTTGTTGAAAATTCTGAAAATGTAACGTGGGGAATGGTAAATACGTGTCATTTGTCTTCACACACACACACACAGACACACTTCTTATTTGCAAAACAGTTCAGTGAAAAAAGCACATATATGACAATAAGAATGTATTAACTTCCGTTCAAATTTTGGGAGCTCTGGGTGTACCAGTGCGACTGCGTCGTTTCTAGTGATACCGCTGTAACCCCGCCTAATGGTCCCCGAGTTACAGTGGGACTACATATTAATAAATAGCAGGGAGTTGCAATGAAGCCCTTACTTCCTAAAACATGACAAGAACGGTAGTCTGCTAGGAACCGTAGACCTTTCCCCAAAACTGTACAGGTGACATTCGTCCCATATACTAACCCCAATACTCCCACTAACCCTAACATGTGCTCATAACATGTGTCTCCGTGCTTCTATTTCTGAACTGCCACTCCTATTACAATGGCCGTGCTGATAATGCAAATGAGACAGCCGCGTCCCAACTCCCTTTCAACGAAAAATCAGCCATTAAGCTGATTTTGCACTAGAGGAGATATTCACCTGTTAGTCATATCGTCGTCTTCTCCACCCCAGCCCCAATAGTTGTTAGAGTACCCGTTAACCATTTCAAAATGACTCAGTGGAAACATGAGGACGCCTCCCACTAGTTCGTCATAAGGTAATCTGAAAAAAAAAGGAATAAAAATGATAGAGATGGTTTTATTTCAAAGACATTCTTAATCCGATGAATAGAGTCATTTCGTATCATCATGAGCATATTAAATTTTCGGCTGGTAAAAAATAGGCAGCAAACATCATGGGCCATTTTTTCTTTCGGAGGCTTACATTCTGACTAGTAAATCCGGCAGAAATTGAATAATTTTTGAAAAATTATTATCAAAGGATTATTATGAAAAAAAATTGTTAACATTCTCTCTGTGTCACAAACTTACTTGTAGTCGAATTTGCTGACGGCCGGCGATAGATGGCGCGGCTGTGAGGAGCAGAGATACATGTTATTGTCGTTCTCAAGTAACATGTCAATGTCGTGGAAGATGACACAGTCGAAGTCCATTCTTTGACGCATTTCCCTGTACGCCGCATTCATTATAAGACCCTTGTTGAACGTTCCATTTCCGTACTGAAAAAAAAAGACATCGTAAAAGAGAGATACTTCAAGAATTTAACGGTTTGACGTCTTTTTTTCTTGATGCATGTCAATAGTCCAAAGGTTCAATTTTCCGTAGGCTCACTGTCAAAATGTTCACGAAAGAACACTTGAACCAAAGAATCTTCTTATAAGAAAAGTGATGAAAATTCTATGACTTTTCGAACTAACATTGAACCTTCAGACCAATGAACCTTTGGACTATCGAGACGCACACTTTTTCCTTTTTTTCAATATTTTTCTTAACTGATAACTGTCAATTCAGCAACTTTAAAGGCAACCAACACACTATCCCTCCCTCGCCATTTCCCCAGGATATTCACCATCACCGAGTATACCCTTATACGCTCTCAGAAACAAACCCACCTGTTCCACAACGACAACCCTGTAGTCAACCAACTGCCGCCTGAGAATCGGATGGTAATGGTCTAACCACATCAATAGGTGGGGCCACCGGTCCCTATAGGGGATGATGATGATCACGCGAGATCTCGCGGTACAGTTGAGAGGGGACCACTTCCCGCCAGCAGTCAAGCCGGTGTTGTTGGCGAGTATTCTCTTTATGGACAGCACCTTCACCCGAGGTATCTGGATTTTACCCACTGGAAGAGAAATTGGAGAAAATAATATTTTTTCCGTGATGTTTCTACCTAGCACTGGAAAAGAATCCAGGAAATAAAAACATAAGTCTACACAATTTTAATGTACCTTGAATTTATGTCAGTAAAAGAACCGAGCACGTTTCACATAAAAACTTCAGTCTAAAACTTGTCCTGAGCTTATTGACCTTTGATCACTTGAATTCGAAGGTTCACTTCAATCAGTTATTAACAGGAAGTAAGTCTTTTTAATTACGTAACTCCTGGTCTAAAACAATAGCAATTGTGATACTAAATATCATTATTTACTTTATATCCAATTTATCTGGATGGGCGGAAAATTGATACGATCATAATTGGGCAAAAGTCACGACAGACGAGTGGACTACGTGTGAAACCGCTAGACACGATCTTTTACATAACGCCACGACACGCACATGCACATGCACGCACACGAACGTCATCTTTCACGTCAATCAACACGTTGGCGCTGAGTCTGTTTAGTTCGTTTGACAATAACAACTCCTCTTCATCAAGGCGGGGGAGGTGGGGTTTCAAACTGTATAAAGTGACTACATATTAAAAGAAAAGCGGTTAGCCAACCTGTTCTCAAATTCGCAGTCGGGCACACACATACGTATATCACATACGCCTCGCCGACTCGTGCTGTATCTATTACCAAACACCCACTGTCTAATCACGAAAACACAAACACGCCTTTCGTTTCTCTGACCACGCAAGGATTCTGAGAAATGGCATTTACGACTTGTTGTCCACATGTCGATATAGGTGACTGTTTTACGTGATTAGCACACAAAATCAGACAGGTTTCAATCAAAGCGTCCCTCGGCGACAATGGTTAAAGGAAACACGAACCAATTTATTTTGACATTTCCATCAAGCGAACTGAAATGACCCGTGCAGTCGAAGAAACCTTCACAGTTCAGCGCAGGCAATCCGTCGGGAAGAAACCACAATCGATTCGGGGAAACGGTACCAGGTTTAATTACGTAAATATATTGAATCTTGTGTCAAATACGCGTAATGAGACTAGACGCGTTGATCTTAATTCAGAGATAAGAATGTTTCGAGGACTCAAGTTTCCATGGCAACACTCGTCCTCATTTTCCCGAAGGAAAATATAGCAAGTTATGCACGTTCAAAACATTTTCTTACCTAAACCGTAAATAGCCAAACTGACGTCACAAGACCATCGCGTCAAACAACGGGCGTCTAATATGACGTGTCAACGCGCCTCATAACCCTGAATATAACATAAGGTAACAAGGGCCTCGTGTGACGTCAGATTAAATTTTTGGTTTAAGCTAGAACCCATTAGGCAGTTTAAAGGGCCCTAGATGCAAGTTGGATCAATTCTGATCGCTCCTAAAGTTACGAAGATGGATTCGCTGTCACTTGGGGAAAAAAAGAGTTAAACGTATCCTATATGTCCTTTGAGGCCGATTTATTCCTGCAAACTTTCAAATGCGTTAAGTACAAAGACTCTAGTCTTTCTACAGACTGGGGAGAAATTGCCCACATCTTGCCATATTTTCAAATCTTTAATGATCTAATGAAATCTTTTTTTATTTTTTCACAACGAGGAAAAGTAACAATGATCCATTGGAAGACCCAAATTAAATTCGTAGTATTCTAAAGGTTTAAATCATAATAATAAGATAACGAGTCAAAGAAAAGTACAACCATCAGGTGCAGATAGGAGAGTTATCATGATATATTGTTGTTCAAATTCATATTGAATGCTGTTGATAATTAATTCAATTGTTCCGAGAGGTGCACTATATTCTATCATATACAGATAAAACGGCTCCAGTTTACGTGCAGATATAAGACTTTAACTTATTAATGACATCAATAATACTATCGAATATATTCCCGTAGAAGAGGGATATTTTTTGTTTCTGTTAAGACTTAAGAATATGTGATTATATATTTCATTTCTGTTTTACGATCAAAAACACAGAAAGTGAATAAGAACGATGCGTAGGACGAACGCTTTTGCCACCTACGGTGCATTTACCACTTGGAGGCATAACAACTCCCCGTATGAGATTCATATTTCACAATAAATGCATTGTAAACAACTCATAGAAATATAATCAATTCTATTTGACCACTAAAACGGCGGTTGTCGCAATTATTCTGGAATCTGTGCTTGTCATCAGACCACCTGACCTCCATCGATGGCTACACTTTGTAATGACCTCTTATTAAAATATTATTACAAAAACCAAACTGAAAACAACATGTACTGACTTCAAATGTCGGAATGAATTTATTAATAACTATTGGTTAGTAAGTTGTCGTTTACCCTAGGAAAAGCCTTTTCTTTTCAAAATGATCAGTTGTTATCTCTTTAAATAGAATACAATTCAGCTCAACACGCTGGAATAAGTCAAAATACAATTAAATCCCACGCGAGTTTATACCAACGATATATAGGAAAGAGACTGAGAGCGTTATACTTAAAAAGAAACAATCTGCTTCATATGATGCATATTCCGAAGACGTATTATTTAAATATTTTTTAAATATTCGACAATCGGAAACCTCAAGAACGCCTGGGAACGTTTTCTCAGTTTGCTCTATAATAAGGTACACGACACAAAATATAAGACAAGCACCCTTTCGGAGAATAAAGACCTCTTCGTTTTCTGTGAAAACCCGCCTATAAATGCATTCTTTGGAAAAGCAGGCCTCATTAACATTAATTTGCCATTTGCTATCAAGAGCCTCAGATCCGGGAGCACGAATGCCCAAATTAACAACTCGAGCTGTGATTCAATGCACGAACGTGAAATGAGTTGCCTTTCATAAGGTCTGAAAGTACTCGCCCTGTTCATAACATGGGTGTTTTTTCTTTCCATTAAGAGCTGGTGTTGTTCTAAACGAATTTATTCGATTCCCACTAGTAAAATCAATTCTGCCGATGTAGGACAAACTTCGGTTATTGCACCACGTACTGCCATAGGCTACGTCGTTCTTCATTATCTCATTTGCGATGTCAGTGCAATGCCTTTTAGATCTGTGACGTGAAATAACAATGCCGCATTAGAGACGCCGAATAAAACTTCAAAAATAGTTTTTTTCTTACTCTTATCTTCGTTATGTCTTCCAAAATCCCAATTAATTCTGTAAATGTGTAGATACGTTCTTGGCATGTTTGGACAAAGCTCTTTTACTCGGTATAAAAAAAGGTCGCTCTCATCATATTGTAATTAAAACCGTCAGGATCCTTGGGTAAAAAGAAAAGGTTTACCTAATATGTTCATGTACATGATGTATTTTAATCAGCTTGCACGATAAAAACAGTTCGAAAACTGGATTAAAAGAAGGATCCATAACAATAAAAAATACTCTAAGCTTTAACATACATGCTTGTTTTGACAACTAATAGAGAAGTGACTTACGCTTTATGTGTTGTTTTGTCAAGAAAAGAAATGCAACAATATATTGTAAATGTTACTCGAACTAAAAATATTGACTATTTGTGGGCAAGCGATTGACGTACGCTACAAACCTGTACGTGCGTAACAATGCGTTTTCAAAAACCTTAGAATCCCTTTCTACTACTAGTATTGTGTGCCCTAAAAAAAAAAGAAAAGAACACGGCGACTCGAAAAATATGACGCAACTATTGACTGACTACAGAATAGGAGTCCAGTTTCATCTAACACGGAAGTAAGTCGAGGCATCGCAATACCTACTATGGACTGGGTTTCCAATGGGCGCGCGCGCGTGTATGTGTGTGAGTGTGTGTGTGTGTGTGTGTGAGAGAGAGATCAGCCTTAGGCCAAGCTGACATGTTTGACAATTTTATGGTGAATAAGGAGATTTTTGGCTGATAAATACAGATATAATTTAAAAAAATCAAAAATTTATAAAGAACGAGAATCTTGAAGAAATTCTGGCAGAGGACAAACTAGAGATATTGCAGTTGTGTAAAACAGTTTTCCGAAAGATTATTACGTCACAAATCAATGTTAATTACCAATTATACACGATAATATATGATGATTAATATTACTGTAAGTCCACACCTTGGCACTACCAACACCGCCTTGTACAATGTACTGTTATTGTACCGCTCTGTACCAATGACAATATGTCACCGTAAAAACAAGTACTACCCCAGTATCCTAAAAATCCATTTCAGTAACGGGATTAATCTGATTCCCCGTTGACTCCCACCTCAGCCATCAACTTTAACGCAATGGGACGTAATTTTAACCACATACACACAACCAGGGACGAACAGGCAGATAAAAAAGACCATTGGGGTTTGTTTGCACAACAGATTAAACCAGAGATTTCTGCCTTTAAACAAATCTAGCGTAACTCGGACAGTTCAATATTCAAAACAGAGAAAGCATCCCATTTATTTTACAGTGCGTGTGTGTCCATACGCGCGTTTATGTTATTCTAACATCTGACCAATAGGGGGAATCCAGTCTATACATGGTTTTATGGTTGATTTGTCCAAGACCAAAGTCGTCAATATGTTGTGCTAACCTGCATACCCGGTTAGGGTAGCTTATGTAATCATCATTCTAACAATGGCGGAGTAAATATACGGGCCTAGCTATTGGCGCGCGACTGGTCTTGGCAAAGTACGCGGCCACTGGTTCTTTGTAATGGCTCCCTGCATATAAACAACCTATGTCGACTTGTATGCATTTGTCACGCATTATGAAGATTTAATATTCACTCATGGTTCTAAGTCAGTAACAAAGTCTCCCAGTCTCGTCGCGTCGCTTCCCACGTAAAAACATTACATTAATATACAGCCAAATCCAGGCAACCAAGTTTAGGCTACAAACCTACACTTAAAACAGAATTCATGCCCTTTTTTACAAAAAACGTATTTGCGTGCACTAGCTATTGTGAGCGTATCCTTACATTCCTCATGCATATTTACGTGCGTTGGAGCTAATACCATTTAGATGAGAAATATTTTATTACATGGCGACACTATACAAAGT